ATCAATTGGTTGCCTCCTGCATGCGCTCCTACCCGGGCTGAGGAACCTGCAACGGAGATACATGCCCTTGACCAGGAATGGAACCCACGACCCTTTAGTCCGAGGGCCAAGGCTTCAACCACTGAGCCAAATCGGCCAGGGCTGAGCCACTTTTCTTAATGAAGGGAATATGGACTAGAACAATGTGAGCATTTTATGTAAATGACTTGTGTGTTTTTGCTGGCTATTATAGAATGCCTTACCTCTAGCACAGATCCCTTGGCTTACTTAACATTATCTGAAAATTTTTCTGCATGAGATGATCTCTTTATTATAGCTAATATTAAGTACTTTCCATTTACCAATTACTGTGCTATTTTTAGTTTAACCTTTGTGTTACTCTTATAAGTTAGGTATTTTTCTCATTTTTTCAGATGAGGAGATGAAGGCTTAGAGCTAGCTGGTATAATTGGGATTCAAACTCAGGAGTACATAGGCAGCCTCTAGAAGCTGTATCCCTTAATCCAGCGGTTCTCAACCTGTGGGTCTCGACCCCTTTGGGGGTCGAATGACCCTTTCACAGGGGTCGCCTAAGACCATCGGAAAACACATATATAATTACATATTGTTTTTGTGATTAATCACTATGCTTTAATTATGTTCAATTTGTAACAATGAAATTGGGGTCACCACAACATGAGGAACTGTATTAAAGGGTCTCGGCATTAGGAAGGTTGAGAACCACTACCTTAATCACTCTACTATATAGCCTCCTTTCAATGAACTGTATTAATACTTCTTACCTCAGAGCTAATAAGAAATTAGAACTACCCTTAGAAATAATTATTGATCTGTAAAATGAACCAAAGCCATCTGTCAATCCAAAGTGACCATGAAAAATTGAAACTCACAGTATCCAAGTAGCATTTTTACCAAATTAGAATTTAAGCAGGTCTGCTGATGATTTGAAACAGGCATACTCTTGTCTTCCTGGCTGACAGATGTTCTTTTGGTCACCAGAACATTGAAAATTAACTATGGCAGGTTAAGCCCGTGGTAGTCTATATAATCGTTTTAGGGACTCTTCAGCAGCCAGGATGTCCGCACTTGCCTCTCACTGGGATGGCAGGGGTTTTTATAAGCCTAAACTAGCAATCAACAAGAACCTGGATTATACATGATCATTGATGCAGTCTATTGACAGCAGCTCACTTTGATTCTATCGATGCACTTTTCTAGGTGGGGAAGCTTTATCCTAATAGGCTCAGTTTGAGTAAATGACTTGTCAGCAGAACTGGGACTTGAATATTGTCTTCTGTTCAAACTCAGTGCTCTTTCATTATGTCTTGCTTCCTCTCAAGAACAAAATGCTCTGAGTGTGCTCCTGAAACAGAACACAACCCAAAGTTCCCCTTTTTTATGTGGCTTATGAAAGATCAAGTACCTAATTTGATGAGCCATTTGGTAAGCTGATTATGGAACATGTTGTTGTGTTTTCATTTTTGCATAGTTGCTATTTATGATTATAGTTTCTGGCAGTTGGAATCTATGTGTGTGTGAGCACTCATGCATATTTAGTCTCAAAAGAGGTATGCCTAGCTAGTTGATTGAATAAGAAAAATGGTTAAGAGTTTGTGGTGGGAGGCTGACGTCAATAAATTGAATAAGTCTTCCTTTTTAAATTATTGTTGTGTTCTTCCAGCCCTGCTTAGTTATGTTAAATGTCCGTGACCTTTTCTCCTGCTTGCCTTTCAGGGCCTAAACATTCATATAAAGGCTCCCAATGTGATTAACATTGATGCTTCTAAGATTGCTTAGAAACTGATGGTCAGAGATTAATTGTGTGCTGCAGCAGTGGTCAGCCCAGGAGGCTTTTACATCTGCCTCTTCTGGATTGAAAATGCTGCTGGGGCCATATGGCAGAAAGGACTTTCTGGCTGGGTTTCAGATTATCATTTGCTTCCATTTTATAGTGGAGGTTACAGTGCTTTGGGTTTGATTTACTGTGTACTAATGGAATTAATCCTTAACTTAAAATCACGTGTGTGTGTGTGTGTGTAATCCAATTCCAGTAATGTTATCAATATGTCATTCAGGGAAAGATTTTATGAAACTACTAGAGGCCCGATGCACAAAATTTGTGCAAGGGGCTCGGTCCTCACAGCCCCGGCTACCTCGGCCCTCCTGGCCCTGGCTGCCTTGTGGCCCCACAGCCCTGCTGCCCTGCTCACTGGTCATTCTGGAAGGTCGTTCCACCATTTGGTCTAATTAGCATATTAGCTCTTTATTATTACAGATGTTTCTATGTATGGAAAGAAAAATACCAGTTAATAAGTATCAACTCTGATTGACTTACTCCCTTGAAAATAAAAAGTATTTTTAGAACAAAGGTGAGGTTGCCTGACTAACTTTTCCTGTTTGCTTTCTTTAATAATCTGTAATTATTCAGTTAAATGCCAAAATGTCTTCCCTATATGCAGAGGGGTTATTCTGGCATAGTTTATGTTCATGTTTACATGCATGCCTGCTGACTCAAAATATGCCTTCAAATATACGTACCCAGGACCTGGAAATCTAAATTTAAAAAAAAAATTGGTGTTAGGAAGTAAAAAAAGAAAAAATTGGATGGTGCTTGATTAGTATGAGAAATCTAATTGTCTCCAGTCTCTTGTCTCTCTTGAAGGCTCTGTGTTTGTCTCTCTGAGTGTCTTTGCATGTGAGTTTCTGTTTCTCAGACTCTCCCTTGGTCTCCAGCCCCATTCTGTCTATCCCTTTCTTCCCTCTTAGTCTTCCCTGCTGTACTAGTATCTTTCTGTCGCTCTCCTTTTTCTGGCTCCATTCTCAGTTCCTTTGTCTTCCTTCTTTCTCCCCAGAACTGTTCCTCAGATAATACATCACTCTTCTGATAACTTTCACTAACGCTGTTTGCCTGTGTTTTTGTGTTATTTTTCACTTGCTTCCATATCAGGGTAATTCATTTTATCTGGGTGGCTATACATAGTACTATAAAAATTCACAGCAGTGAAGTCTGAGAATTGGCATAAGTTTTAAACCTGCTTCATCTTCCCGGACTTTCTTTCCACCTCCCCCTTTCCTCTGTGCCTCCAACCCCCACATACGTCCTTGCTCCACAAGGAAGATGGCAAAGCATATTTGGTTACATAGTGATTTGAAATCAGGCTGTGAAACTCACACACAATGATTAATCAGAATACATTGAGATTCTGCTTGATTTGTACCTCTGAGGTTTGGACCTGCAAAATCAACAGTGGTGCTCATTTGTAGTTGGTGGTAATAGCCACATCATCTTTCAGGGAAGTCATATCCTTAGGTTAATAAATCTGCAGTCCCAAGAGGCTCCTAAGGTTAATAATTTGTCATCATGGTTATGAAATATGTGACATTGTATGTGATTTTACATATAGCTGATCTCATGTAGAAATTAGGGATATTTTTTATGTTTTGGGAAATTATTTCTTAAGTTCAGCCATTTTCTTCTCGTAGTGCAACAGTTCTGTGGAAGTGGAACTTTTTCCTCCTTAATTGAATTGTATAGTCCTCAATTCATCTCTGAGAAAGGTGGTAGCTGCCTTTATATTAATACTGCTTCCCTCTACTAAGTAGTAAACCTAGAAAAGGATTTTGCAATGGATTCCAAGGTATTTATTTAGTAAATCATATTTATTTCATGCAGGATGTTTAATTAAACTGCCAAGTGGCTTCTTCTTTATTCTGACCATCATTTTGATTTAAACAAACTCTATTTGGTTGACACTGCAGAAGAAACTAAGCTGAAACCTGCACTGTCAGATATCCTTTTTGGGGGGGCAGGCAGTTTATTATTATTTGTAATAAACATTTTAGAAAAATAAGTTAGGCGAGTAAAAATTATTACATAGGCACAATTCTTTTAAAAAATCGGTTAGATTTTAGATTTGGTTAAAATGCTTTCTATTATTAGTATTCTTTTTAGGAGATAAGTATTCAGATAAATTGTTTTCTCAGAAATTGACTCTGAATACAGAATTTCAGATCACTGAAAACAGGTCATTTGAAATCTGTATTTCCTTCCCTTTTTCTGATTCATTTTATTTACTCAATAGGATTTTCTCATGAAATTAACTTTTTCCTTTCTGCATAGTTATATAAACGTGCTTTTCTGATGAAAAATTTTATCCATTTTGACGCTTGTTAAAGTGAACTTTTACTTGAAGTATTTCTGGTTTTAAAGCCAGGATATATGACCAGAGGCAGATAAATAATATCTCCTTATTTATAGTCACAGAATTTCTCTAATTTTTCAGTGCTTTTGGAAAAGTAGATCTTGTGCCTAAAAGCATGCTTTTGTGATTGAAATCTTTTAGTGAACTACTTACTCAGGTCAAATGCTTCTAAAGCCCTTCTTTTCTTTCCCTCGGGATAAATTGCATAATGTGTTACCAATAACAACGCCACATCATTTCAAAGAAAACTAAAGTAGTACAAGTCTAGGTTTCTGGAAACCAGATGGCGGGTGGATAGCCCTATTTAACAGGTTACCACGCAAAGAGTATATTCGTTTAATTACCAAGGATTGGTCATTCCTCTAATCTAACATCTTGTTATACTGCATGTCATTGTCCTTATTGTTCTTGCCTCCCCAACACAAACAATCATGTGCAGTCTTTTTCAGATACTGTCTTTGTTCAATCATTTAACTGCCTAGTAATATTGGGAATTATAAATATATTTGCCATTGGGAAAAAAACAAGCATTAATTCACTGGCTTAATTGTCTTTGGGGGACCAGGTGGTGCCTTCTCCCTGGAGGAAGATAGACTGGAGAGACGAGTTGTTAGAGTACCATCTGACTTGAACAACTTTTAAGAAGTCTGGTTCTAGTTGCTTTCAGTCCTTTTGAATCCAAACAGTTTTCAGTTCTCTATTATTACAGAATTACTTTCTGAAAGAATTAGTTATTTTATTACTGGGTAGTAGTATAGACTTAGTTCTTTGTGAATCTTTGTTTTTGGTCTCTTTCAGGTTGTTTGAAGGACGTTCCTCAAGAAAACCAGAGAAGCTTAAAACGCTCTTCTGCTACTTCAGAAGAGTCACAGAGAAAAGTAAATTCCTTTCATTCTTAACTATAATTTTTATCACTGATGGGAGACAGTTCAGATCAAGAACATTTTGTGTTCAAAGTACACCTTCCTGCCCAAACCAAATAATTCATTATAATCTAGATTTTATATACATGTGTGCCATGAGTGTGTGTGGGTCTTATATATTCTAAAATTAGAGCAGCGTAACATACCATAATGTGTTTTCATGAATAAAAACAAATTAATATTTTCAAAAGGAAGTATGTTGACCAGGAAATGCATTTTTTGGTGTTCTTTATTTAAAGAAGCATTGACTTTTATAATTAGTTTATTTGTAGAAGTCAAGCAATTCATTGTCTTCCTATAGGTCCCTCTCTTTTGTGTCCCCTTTAAACCCTTTGCAGAGTTCTTATAAAGCAGTGTTTCACTTAGTGTTCACATGTCTGTCTTCCTCTGTTGAACCTCAACCATCTTGTTTCCCCAGAGGCTAATTGCAGCCCCTAAGGTAGTGGTGGTAAATATCTGACCAGTGCTCTTAGTAACCACTGACTGTAGATTGCTATTGCCACTTCTGTCCTAGGAGCTGGGTAGCTACAGACACTTTGTTAACATCTGTAAGCCTCAATTTCTTCATCTTAATAGAATGATGATAATTATCTCATAGGCTAGTTGTAAATATTAAATGAAGTTACGTGCTTAATAAATACTAGCTTTTACCAGTGGGTGGCTTTTCTTACAAGTTGGTTTTAAAGAAAACCGAAACTTCTCAAAAGCTTGCTTTTGCTAACTCTGGTCAAGTGAAATGAGTAATGAATTCTTTTTAGTTCTGGTCATACAGGTTGTGGGATTATCTTGAAACATATCATTGAATCATTTTAAGGTCATTTTTTTCCTTTTGTAAGTATCTCTCATTATAGTATATTTAATTGGCACCTCCCCCCCACCCCCCACCCCCAGTGTATTGCTATTGGACATTGTCTCCCCCCCCTTTTTTTTTTAAGGAATCAATTATTAGGATTTGTGAATTTAAGGGAAAATTTTATATGCTTCTTTGACGGGTTTATTTATTTCTTAGCTTATCAATTTTTAGTTTTGTGCTCAGTACAGAATAAAATATTAAGGAAAATGAAGGCTCATTCAGGCTATGATACATAACACCAAATTAAAATTTGTAATAACTCGTTAGAAAAAAGTACTTTTTTGCTATTCTAAATCTAAATAGAATGAGTTTCATTATTATACTTAGGTAATTCAGTGTTTACTTTTCTGTCCTTGGAGTCAAATCATGTATATCTTCTCTAGGCTTCTCTATGTCTCCTGTAGAAAAGCTAACTTGCCTTTCTACATTTTAGGATTTTAAATAATTTGAGGAAAAAAGCTAAAGTTTTGTTTTTCTTTAAATATATTTTTATTGATTTCAGAGAGGAAGGAAGAGGGAGAGAGAGAGAGATGCATCAATGATGAGAGAGAAGCATTAATCGGCTGCCTCTGGCACGCCCCCTACTGTGGATCGAGCCCACAACCAAGGCATGTGCCCTGACCAGGAATCAAACCATGACCTCCTGGTTCATAGGTCGATGCTCGACCTCTGAGCCACATCGGCCAGGCTAAAGTTTTGTGTGTTTTTCTTTTTTTCAACTAGAAATTTATAAACCATACTAAGTGTTAGAAATTAATCACACTGAAAAAATAAGTTGTAATTAGACATTTTATGTTCTGGCTTTTTTACTATATATGGTAATGTAGTTCTTTGTAGAAATATAGAGAAACATGCTATAGGTTTTCAGGATGTAAAGCTACAGGCTTAAGGAGGAAATACTAAGTGGAATAAAAGAGGTTTGCAGTTTAATAATTACCTTATATAGAAGTTCTAGAGTCTACTGAATAGAAACTATAGGAATGTATTTAGGTCTCCTCCTCTTGCTCCCTTGGTGGGGTGATGGTGACTGTGCACCAATGTCAGCATGGGCTACACTCACCGACAACTACCAGCTCTTCAAAGGAGCTTGGCAAAGGTGCTTTCCTGTGGTCCACAGGTGTGTGAAGAAAACCCCCATGCAGCAGTATGCAGCAAAAATCAATACCAAGAAGTTGGTCTGCCCGGGATCACCAGAAACTAGAACGTGAGGCCTGGATATATTGACTTTGGAGACATCCATTGTGCATTCCCATCACAGTATTTCAGAAAAAGGGTTTCACTACCTTGTGTTTGACCTTGTTACTGGTGGAGAGCTGTTTGTAGACATCATATCCAAAGAATCCTACGATGAAGCTGATGCCAGCCACTATTTACATCAGATTTTGGAGAGCGTTAACTACATCCACCAGCGTGACATTGTCCACCGGGACCAGAAGCCCGAGAAACTGCTGCTGGTGTGTAAAAGCAAGGATGCTGCGGGCAGCTGGCTGATTTTGGCCTAGCCATCCAAGTACAGGGAGAACAGCAGGCTTACTTTGGTTTTGCTGGCACCTCAGCTTACTTGTCTCCTGAAGCCTTTTTTGTTGTTGTTAATCCTCACTTGATATTTTTTCCATTGATTTTTAGAGAGAGTGGAAGGGAAGGGAAGAGACAGAGAGAGAAACATCTATGTGAGAGAAACACATCGATTGATTGCCTCTCACATGTGCCCTGACCAGGGCTGGGGATCGAGCCTGCAACTGAGATATGTGCCCTGGACCGGAATTGAACCCATGACCCTTCAGTCTGTGGGCCGACATTCTATCCACTGAGCAAACAAGCTAGGGCTGTCCCCTGAAGTCTTGAGGAAAGATCCTTATAGAAAACCAGTGGATTTCAGAGCCTGTGGAGTCATCTTGTATATTCTGCTGGTGGGATATCCTCTCTTTCAGGATGAGGATCAACAGAAGCTATATCAGCAGATCAAGGCTGGAGTCTATGATTTCCCATCCAGAGTGGGACAGTGACCCCTGAAGCCAAGAACTGATCAACCAGATGCTAACCACAACCCTGCAAAACATATCTCAGCTGACCAGGCTCTCAAGCATCCATGGTTCTGCTAACGGTCCACGGTGGTATCCATGATACATCATCAGGAGACTGCGGAGTGCTTGCGTAAGTTCAGTGCCCGGAGGAAACTGAAGGGTGGCATCCTCACGACCATTACTTGTCTCCAGGAACTTTTCAGCTGCCTAAAGCCTATTGAGCAAGAGGTCGGGTGGCGGTGACAAGGCGCCATAAACCACTATGGTGGGTAACATTACAGATGGGATCAAGGACTCCACAGAGAACTGCAACACCACCACTGAAGATAAGGATCTCAATATGGGAAAACAGGAGATCATTCAAATCACAGAACAACTGATTGAGGCCATCAACAATGGAGATTTTGAGGCCTGCACAAAGATTTGTAATCCAGGACTCCCTTCCTTTGAGCCTGAAGGCCTTGGTAACCTTGTGGAGGAATGAATTTCCGTAGGTTTTGCTTTGAGAATCTTCTGTCCAAGAACAGCAAGTGCATTCATGCCATCATCCTGAACCCACATGTCCCTGTGATCAGAGAGGACACAGCTTGAATAGCCTACATCCACCTCAATACATCGATGGGCAGGGTCCACCTCCCACCAGCCAGTCAGAGGAGACCCAGGTCTGGCACCGCTGGGATGGCAAGGGCTCATTGTCCACTGTCACTGCTCAGGGGCCCCTGCCCCACCGCTGCAGTAAGCTCTGCCACAGGGTCATTAGGAGATCCCAGCTGGAGGTCGAACCTTTGCAGCCAGTGTCTCTGGAGGATCCCGAGCGACAGCAGCAGTCCTGTTCATTTGAGGTTTAAAACAATTAAATTACAAACCCACCCACTTGCCCTTTGTGTCTGTCTCTGCTGTACTGAGGTGTTTTACATTTAAGGAGAAAAGATTGTTTTTAAAAAGATGGAAAAAGAAATGTATTTAAAGTACCATATATTTCATCAAATCTAGGATATTGTAGATGGTAGGAAGTGCCATTATGTTATGTACCACTAAGAAGGAAAAAACAGGATGGGGAATCGTTGGAGACCTCTCTGATAAAGCTGGCACACCAAAAGTCTACACCCTTAGTCTAAGGATACATGAGGAGTTAACCTGGCTGTGCAGAAAAGGGACAGTAAGCAAACCACTGTCAATGTTGGCACTGGGTAGAGAGCGGAAAAAATATCCTCTGAGAATGTGAATCAAGTTTGGGGTCCAAAGTCATATTACCCGTGTGATCCACAAAAGCCTGCAACAGAGGGCTTACTTCAGACTGATCTGAGGTTGGTGGTGCTCTTAGATGATGGCAGAAGCAGATGCACATCTTCTCTGGAAAGGTTTGACTTTAATCCAGACCAAATGCGATGGATAGATACCTTGGACTATGAAAGATGTATTTCATTTTCAGAAATTTAATACATGAAAAAATGTGCTTTTAGAATTGATAAAATACAATTCCATCAGGACCAACTTTTGAGTGTTGCCAAACATCAATATTTGTAATGAGGATCTTGAGACTGAAAGATTTTAAAGGGCTTTCTGAATTAAATTATTTTCAATATAGTTTTAAATAAAGTATCTTATAGGTGGAGTATTTAAAAATTAATGATTCATATGCAGTATGTATTTTGAATTATTAAGGAAAACATTTAATCAACCAAAATAACTTATTCTGGCATGAAAGGTGCCTTTTTATGGAAGAAAGGTAATAGGCATGTTCTCAAGGTGTTTTTGTTATTAATTGAGGCCTGGTGCACGAAATTCGTGAACGGGGGAGGGAGGTCCCTCAGCCCAACCTGCACCTTCTTGCAATCTGGGACCCCTTGGGGGATGTCCGACTGCCGGTTTAGGCCCGATCCCACCGGCAGTTGGACATCCCTCTCGTAATCTGGGACCGCTGGCTCCTAACTGCTGGCCTCCCTGATTGACCCTAACCACTCTGTTTGCTTGCCTGATCGCCCCTAACCACTCGCCTGCCAGCCTGATTGCTCCCTAACTGCTCCCCTGCTAGCCTGATGGCTCCCTAACTGCTCCCCTGCTGGCCTGATCACCTCTAACTGCTCTCCTCTGCCGGCCTGATCACCCCTAACCGCCTCTGCCTTGGCCCCCGCCACCGTGGCTTTGTCCGGAAGAGATCAGGTCTAATTAGCATATTACCCTTTTATTAGTATAGATATCTTAAGAACCATGTTTATATGCTTTTACTTTTGCTTTGCCAGTAGTGTTCATTTATGAATTTCTTTTGATCTTTCCTAGTGTATATGAAGGACATTTAATGTTCTTACTTTTCTTACTGACTGATGTTCATGACTGATAATACTAACATTAGTTTTCTATTAATAGAATTACTTCTCTAGTATTTGAATTGTTTGACTTCTTGTGAGTTTTAAATATGCTATCCATTTGTCTTAAAGATAGACATCTAAATATTTTATAACTCATGTTAACAAAATTTTATTTTTTAATATAAATACTCCATATGATTTTTGAGTTATTAATGCTTGTGACTGAAAGTACAGAAATGTAGAATCATCCAAAGAAATGAAACGATTGCTAAGCTTTCATTGGAACTCTACCACCATTATCCCTAATAGTTCCTGACATTTCTCTTTGCTTAAGAGCTTAACAAAACAAACAACAACAAAAGGAGAAAACAAAAATGGCCTGGCTTTTTTAGTTTATTCTTTGATCGAATCAAACAAATTACTTTTGGCCAGCTGATTTATTTGTTGCTTTTGCTACTAGTTAAAAAATAAACCTAACAAAAAAGGATCATATCCTTTAAAATTTACTGTGTTTTGATCTTATATGTATTGCTACTTGAAAACTATGTCATCTTTCTTCTCTAATCATTTAGAACACAGTAATTCCTCCTTCCACCTAAGGCACCTTATAAAAAGAGCAATTGCATATCATCTAAGCCCTGGATTTGGCTATGTCACCTCCAAAGGCTTGCCAACAATTTTCTTTTTTTAATCCTAGACATTTTTTTTCATTATAAAACATAAGTATGTATACATTCACCAGTTTTTAGATGTAGGGTTAAAGTTCTTCTTTGAGAAAGAGTCCATCTACAGATTAAAATCCAGTTTTGTCTTTATTATGTAAGCTACACCCATTTGCATCTTTTCCCCCAAATTATTTCTTAAAAGTGTTTGCAGTTTAGAAAATGACATTTAAAAAGTACCAGCACTCACATCCTCCTGTTGTGCTGCTGTTTGTGTAGTTTTTTGTTTTAGTGAGGACATGCTATTTCATAGAAAGAGTTCCTACTGTAAGGATAATATTATTTTAAATCACTCTTCTGTTGTATTCCAAAACTAGTTTTATAGCCATTGTTAGACCCATTCTTTTACTGAATATATGTATAATCTTTTCAAAATCAAAACTTGTTTTTCTTTTATTGCTTTTGTAGAACCTACTGGGTTGGTGACATTTACAAGACAGAGTCTTGAAGATTTTCCAGAGTGGGAAAGGTAATGATAAAAACAATGCTGCAATCTTAGAATTAGAAGAACTGTTTTTACCATGAGAGGATTTTATTTTACAGCCCCTGGAAAGATGTTTTCCAAACTCTTAATTGCTGTTTTGCTAGGCAGTTTCTTCTCATAAGAACCTAACAAAATCCATTGATAGCTTTCATTGTTAGAAAGGTTATGCCTTTTGAATCAAAGTCTGCAACTCTTTGACTTCTTCTACTGTTTTGCCTTAGTTTTGTCTTCTGAAACAAAGTCCTGTTTAGAGGTAAGGAGTTTTGTGCATGAAGACACTGATATTAAATGGAACACCAATATTTATTGTTCCTTCATACGCTCCTTTTTTGGTTAGTATTTATATTTTATGGCTTTTCTTCCTGGAGAACAAGATTGAGAAATTTTTTGTTTGTTTGTTTGTTTGTTTGTTAATCCTCACCCGAGGATTTTTTCCCATTGATTTCTAGAGAAAGTGGAAGGGAGGGGGAGAGTCAGAGAGAGAGAAACATTGATGTGAGAGAGACTCATTGACTGGTTGCCTCCTGCATGCGCCATGACCAGGACCCTGAGATCGAGCCTGCAACCGAGGTACATGCCCTTGACCAGAATCGAACCTGGGACCCTTCAGTCTGTGGGCCGACACTCTATCCACTGAGCCAAACCGGCCAGGGTGGGGAAAAAATTTTTATTAAACTAAAATATAAATAGTAGTTACCTAGAATTTGCCTGATAAGAATTTTGAGGTTTGTCTGTCCATGTGTACTATTGGCAAATTTTGTGGAAGTTGCTAATTGATTGTTTTGTTCTTATTATTTATCTGTAAATACTGAGGAGAATAATAACCAATCTGAGTTAATCAGATTTGTACATTTTTTAGTGTCCTGGAATAGTTAACACATTTCCTAGTCTAGAGCAAATATCCAAAGCACTTAAAGTAGAATGGATCGACTTTTTCAATGCATGTGAGGACATGACTAGACATACTAAATGCATATTTTGAGTGTGGATTCTGGTTAACCAGTGCTTCTCATTTTCACATTCTAATAAAATTTATTTTAATCCTCACCCGAGGAAATGTTTTTATTGATTTTTGAGAGGGAGGAAGAGGGAGGGGGAGAGAGAGAGAGAGAGAAAGAGAGAGAGAGAGAGAGAGGGAGAGAGGGAGAGAGGGAGAGAGAGGGAATTTCTTGCCTCCCATACGAGCTCAGACAGGGATCAAACCCACAACCTGGGTATGTGCCCTGACTGGGAATCAAATCTGCAACCCTTTGGTGCACGGGACTATGCTCCAACCAGCTGAGCCACACTAGCAGGTCTAATAATTTTTATTGTAGTTTTTAATTGTTTTGTTTAGAGTAAGTGATGAAAGAGACTCACTCTTAAGGGAGTTAACTTAAGAAGGCACATCTGCTTAGGTGGCTTTCCCATGGTGTCTTCGTTCATCAAACATGTTTATTTGCGAGGTGAAAGAAAAATAAACTTACTTTAGGAGGCTGACTGCATGGCTGAGATGATTATTAATAGGGGGAAATGGATAAAAGACCAAACACCTGAAGAAAAACAAAAGCAAAATTGAGCCAAAAAGGAAGAGAACATGAACAGCATTTTGGAGTCATGGCATATTAGAGATTAAAATTATCCCAGGAAATCATTGGGTCCGGGGGCCTACTAAAAATATTGTCAGCTCTATACTACCTATGACAGGTGGAAACTAGGCAGCTTCAGTGGTGGGAAGTACACAACTTCACCTCACTCGGCTGCTTGTGTTATTATCTAATACTGTCATTCACTAAAAAAGTCTGTCTTTCCAATAATCCCTCTCTTCCCATTCCTGGTTCTTCTAGAGCTACAATAAGTAAATTTAATTTTCTTTAACGTTCAGCATTCCTTCATGTATCTTAATGCTTTCCTGACTCACCACACCTATAACAATGCACACAGGTACATACAAACCTTACTCATTTCTTCTATTTCACATATAATATGAATTCTAAATGCTTTATTTCTGCTATTTACATACCCCAGACCATTGGTCCCTCTTAAAATATGGTGCCTAGATCTAAAAGTAACAATCTGCTATGTTCTCTGCCCAGGTCAGGGTACAGAGGATTGCTCTTCTTAGATCTTCAATTAGTCTGTAATAGGAATACAGATGTTTTGTTCATGTCACTTCCATGTAGATTTTATAGGTCATTCAGAGGGCTTGTTTTCAGTTCAGCTCAGGATCACCTCTGCATTCGTCATTTATTTGACTCTAATGTGAAAGTACACTCGTTTACACATTGCCATCTGGGAGTGAAGGGATAGGTCAAAATGCAGAGATCTGCAAGGTGCTGTGTCAGTGAGATAATTTTGCCCCTAAATACGATCAAGATACTCCCCTTAACTTTGATAGACAAAATTTAACTTGGTAGCCTTTCTAGCTTTTTGTTCTCTGTTTTGTTTTAGTTGCTTTATAAGTGAGTTAGAGAATATAATTAATATCCATCTCCCAGACTCCACAGAACCAGAAACATGCATTCACTTATAGAGGAAGGATGAAGAGGAGATGAGGATTCTTGGTGTTTCAAGAGTAAGGGGCTAAATGGGTGCCAGGAAGTTAGAGGCTTTCTGATGACCAAGTTTCTGACATCTTATAGTTAACCTTTTGATTATCAGTAAATGCCTTAGCCAGGCTTAGTTAATCACCGACAGCCAGAATAGGCTGTGTCTTTGATTCCTGGAACAGTGAAATGGAGAATTTTCTAGGGCTAGAAGGAGAGACCTGCTTTAAAAAGCTAGAAGGATGCTTAAAAAAACAAAAACCTGCCTGGCTGGCATTGCTCAGTGTTTGAGCATCATCCTATGAACCAGGAAGTCATGATTCGATTCTTGGTCAGGGCACATGCCCGGATTGTGGGTTCGATCCCCAGTAGGGGGCATGCAGGAGGCAGCCAATCAATGATTCTCTCTCATCATCGATGTTTCTATTCTCTCTCTCCCTTCCTCTCTAAAATAAAAAAATATACATATTTAAAAAAAAACAAAATCTCTGCCCCATTTTTATCTATTTCATAATTTTATTGAGAACTGTGCTGTAAGTTGACAACTTCAGTCATAGAGAATCATTGACAACAGTTGAGATTTCTGTTTTGAAATCCTGACTGACAAACCAGAGGTTTCTGGATCATGCTTTTTTAGCTTTTCAGTAGTATCCTCAAAGGTGGTCTCCTCTGGAATAAAATGACTAGGAAAGTGGGGACTCCCCCCCCTAAAAGGAAGTTAAAAAGTCAAACTTATAATACAATTTTTACGAGAGATTTATAATGTAATTTATTCTAAAAGTATTGCATACTGGTTAAGAGTTTGAACCATTGATTTAGGCTACCTGGGTTTAAATCTTTATTGCTTCATTTACTAGCCTTGGGCAGGTAACTTGACTGCTTTCTGTGCCTTGTTTTCCCATCTGTGAAAGGAAGGAGTGATAGGGTTGTGAGGATTAAATGAGTTAATACAAATTAAACTCTTATAACAGAACATATATTGACTTACCTTCTGAGTTTAAGGCTATCAGTCTGAAATGTATTTAGACTCATTGAAACCAGGAAAAAAACAAGTCACAGTAAGTAAATA